CACTTCACAGAAGCAAGCAGGTCAGATGTCAGCAAGGTCTGATTTGAAAACAAGTGTACCACCAGCAGGGCTTATGGATGTGCTGGAGAAATCAATGCTTCTAATACCCATTCCTGCTGATGCTCTCTTCAACACTGTCTGGAGCTTCACAACCTTTGCTCTGTGGTTGTCTTGAATGATTTATCACTTACCTCCTCTCTTTGGATAATTCTTGACTCCAGCATTACATGTCCCACAAAAGCTAAACCACAAGCAGCAAACTGTTTAGCAGTGATATTCATTCTAAAGATTGTAAAAAGAGTTGCAACTGCTGTGCTCTCTGAGTGAGGAGGTGCTGAAAGAGTGTGCTCTATCACCAGGTGTTGGACACATTTATCAGTTGTGACATTATCTGTGTTGCTCCTTATGACAGAATAATAGGGCTGTCCTGTCTTTATATACAATCAGGGATGATGGCCATGTATGGCATACAACCCTCCTCCCACCCAATACACTTGTGACAAAAAGTGCCGATGTAACCCAGTCCCCTTCTTGCAAGGGAATGGGCTCAGCAGAAGAGCCAGACCTCTTGGTGCTTTGTGTGACACCTGAGCTGGCAGGCATCCTCTGTGTAGCAAAGCATCACAGCTTCTGATTCTTGGGCTATAATTTTACCTTGCCCATTTGGAGTCACTGTCCTAGCCTGAAAGCAGCTTCAGAATCTAATCTCTCAAGGATCTCCCTCACATATCAGGAAAGAAGTCAAAACTTTTCAGGATTAAACCATTCCAGTTAAATTTGGTTTCTCTCATCTCTCTTAACTTTTGGCTGTCCTGTCTTCAGGTCAGTTAGCTCAAAATATTCCAAGTTTGTAAAAAAGACTTTTGCCCTGTTTCTGCAACTTCACAAAAATAGTAGATGAACTGATGGCAAATTTAACTTACCCAAAATTTGTCTAATCCATTGTTTTAACCATTCTATAGTGTAGTACTGGGCTGTTGATAATAGATAACAATAGCAGGAAACCAGGTGGTATAATTCAATATTGTGTTTTTAAAATGGTGAATATCTGCAATATGAAGGAATTCTTGAAGAAAGTGATCACGTGTAGGTTAGATGATCTGCCAGTCAGGTAGCTGTAAATAAGTCCTCTGACAAAAACTACCAGCAACTGGAAATCAGCTGTTGTCAGACCACTCACTGAGCCTCATGGGTGTTCCATGCACAACTCTGCAGCAGCTGAGACTGACCTATGGATGAAGGATGCTCTTCACAGCAGGGAAGGTTTATCTGTCTGATGCTTTAACAGCTCCTTTCCTTTTTGTTCTCCTCTGAAAAAGGCATTCAAAACAAGGTTAGCAATACCCCATACAGACAGAGAATTCAAACCACTCAAAAAATTATGAGAATGATCAGAAGACTGAAGACATTTTCTCTTGCTTTCTATAACAGAACCAGTCTGTAACGTCATAGACTTGGTCTCCATGTACACTCCTTATATTTTTGCAGTTAATTTTTATTACAATTAATAAGTTCTTACCATTGGAGATATTCCATCTCAACTAACTATCTGCTATCTAGTCATTCTCCTTATTTTTCTAAACAAACTAGATGTAAAAGGCTGGGCATTTTATATGTTCTATTACTGTTGCAAATCATTCAAGCAAAATACATTCCTATTCAGGAGGGATCAGACTTAGGCTTGAAAATTAGGAAAAATTTATTTCATTACACCTTAAGGCAAAAAATAGCTGCTGAATCTGATACTATCTTTTAAAATGAAATCCGTGAAAGTCCCAGATAATTTTCTTCCATGCACCATCCTTTCTTCTTTTCCTTCTTCCCTCCAGTTCAACAAAATACTGGTGTTTATTCTCACAAGAAAAAATGCTGGCAGAGAGTGCAGAGCTTCAAAAGCAAGGCAGTGGGCTCAGACTCATTTTTGTACTATACAGCTACAACAATTCTGAATAATAAAAAACATAATAAAACCATAAGTATACATACAACTGTAGTTGCTCCATATCATCCTTCTCTCTGCACTCAGTAGATCTCTCTTGTAAACAGTGGAAACAAGGGAAAAATGAGATGCGGCTATAACTAAGTTTCCACAGGGAACACTGCTACTGTCAAAGCAAAAGCATCTGTAGACTTTTATTGTTATAGACAGGAGAATCAAGAGGCAATTATTTCCCCCTTTTTAAAATCTTTTGATCAGATAATTAATAAATCCAAGGGACTCGTGCAATTGTTCTCATATTCTGTTCAAATAATCCAAAAGCAAGGCACATTCATACTGTGCAAAATCCCTTCTAGCTTGTTTTGTGTAGAACTGCCATTAAGGTAATTATCTTGCAGACTGGCTACAATCAAGATGACAAATCTTTAAAACTGCAAAAGAGCACAGAAAACAAAATTGAGGGCTTTTTATCTGCATCATATTAACTGGAGATTTTTGTGCTGCTCTTTCTTTGTATCCCCAGTGGATATTTTTTGGGGGAAAAAATCCCATCTTTTCTTGAAGTTAAGCACACTTTAATTTAAGCCATGTAAAGATCCACTTAGTAGCCATAATTCATAGCTACAAAAAGATACCTATCCAACGTATTTCAGAGCAACAAGTATATTTAATTAATGATAATGCAAATCCTTTCTGAAGGAACTGCAAAAAATTGTGTGGTAATTTTAGGAAACAGGCTAATGTACTCTCAGTTTCTGTTTGAGCAGCATTAGGAGCTGTATTACTTTTTTTTTTTTTTATTTCAGCTGAATGGAAGCAATAAAATATTGCTGTTAAACCTTTTCAATAAATCAACTTCCCATGCTTCCCTGCTGACTTACTACTTCATGGCAGGATAAACAGCTTCAGAGAAGATACAAACAACTAACTCACTAGAATTCACATCTAGTTGCATTAAGTAGCACAGCCAAAAAGCTGTGAAGAGTTGCATCAGCTGTCTGACATAAGTACTGAAAAAGCACAGCATATGGATATTTGCACAATGAAGCAGAAGTAAATTTCCATTTTGAAAGCATCATCAGGAAACAGCTTGCTGGCTAGAGGAAAGTGAAATGTGATTTTACATTTTCTTATTGCAGCAACCAGATGCATTTAGCTGCAATAATGGCAGCTATAAGTAGTTACAGGACATATTTTATTGTTTTATTTGACAAAGCACCCTGAATGATATTTAAAATGAGAACAGCACAGAGTTCTCTGCATTAAGGAGAAGATTGAGGATGTAAAGAGAATTAGGAATGAATAACTTCATAAGGACTATTATCTGGGCTTCTGGACAGGAGTTGGACTTTACAGCTTCAAGCTACCTGCATCAGGAGCTTGCTTTAGTCCAAATCCAGACTTTCTTTAGAAATGTTGAAAAGCACCTTTGAAACTTTAATCCAGGATTTTAATCTATAACTGCTTTAGCCTTGCTTGAAGCAACTGACCTTTGAATACAGCAACAAGACTTTCCAAGACAGGTCTTTCCTGAGCATCCCAATAGTCAGGCCTTCCTTTAGACTGCGCCAAGCAAATTTACCAGCCCATTCCAGCCACACAAGATACTGCAAGAAAATCCCAACTCCCATTTTCCTTCTTTCCCCTCTTTATTTCATCTCTTACAGCATAAACAGGTCAGATTGTATCAGCTGTGAGGGCACTCCTATTTTGGGTGCAGTGTTACCACTTTCAGCTGTAATGGGAACGTGTGTTGCTGCTCATCTCCCTCCTGAGCCTGGCACAAGCAGCTCACTGTGGGTCAGCTGGCTGGGGCTGGACGAGTGGCCCCCTCAGCTGCTCAGTGCATCCAGCTGTGCTCCAGCTGCTTGAATTATTCTGTGATCACAGCTCACACAATTCCTGAGAGGGTGACAATAAATCTACTCCATCCTGTAACAAAAGGAAGGAAAACAGGTGAAATTTGATAGCGATGAAAAAGAAAGCCTCATGGCCCAAGCAGATGCCAAATGACATGTAACAACAAAATAATGCACTTTTGCAGTAACTATAAAAAGCAAACACACCCATTTCACAACATTAATTTCCCTTTTATATTATGTGTGGTCAATGTCCAGGGCCTTGCCTTTGTCTTTTTATTTCCTCTAGCACTTTATTGCAGAGAACATCATATAAAGTGACATTTATTTTTTCTATCTCCCTTTAGACTTATATTCCTCAGATCAGCAAGGAGAAAAAGAAGTTGAATCACTGGAGGAAACCCCTCCAGTTAAGTTCATTCCTCCCATGCCCTTTCTATTATAGTGGCTGTTGATATGAAACTTAAATGTCTGTAGATGGTTGCATTTCATAGTAACTAGTGTAGATGACTGCATTTCTAGTAACTAGACGATTGCATTTCATAGTAATGAGTGATAAATGAAACATACACTTTGCACACTGTAACACACCTGGCCTTTGGGCTGGCCCAAGGAAAAAGCTGGAATTGTGCAACCATTCCAAAGGGCTGTGAAATTGTAGGAACATCCAATAGTGTACAAGGTGAGGGAAGTTCTTAGGACATCTACAGGTTGTGCTTGTGGAGGAAAGTTCTAAAGCCTTTCCTTCAACAGGAAAGGAAACTGGAGAAGTACTATTTGACTGAATGGAATCTCAACAGTGGGGCTGGTATTTTAAGGTGCCCTGAAGCTTTGACCCACATTCATTGTTGTAAGAGGACTGAATGCCCCACACTTCAGAGCCCGAAATGACACATGGTATGATGGAGAAACCACCACTTAAAAAGTAAAACCAAACTTTGTAGGAAAAGAGGAGGAGTTCTGACTTTTTGCTCCCCTTCACTTCCTGATGTCCTCTTGGCATGACGGACTGAAGTGGCAATCCCCTTCCAGGACTTCTGCAAAGTGTATCCCAAGTTCTCACAGCTCTAAAAGCCCCTGTATTCACTGAGAACTGCAAGACATATAGTTAAGAACTCAGTACACACTCTGATTTAGTAAAGAACACAATTAAAAGTATTAAAATAGTGTACTGGACATAAATGACAGCTGCGACAGGAAAATGAGAACAACTTTCATGTTTTTATTGCTGCCTTAGAAGCAATTGATAAACAGTACACTTCATATATAAATGAGCATGTGTCAATATATGAAAACAAAAATAAATTACAGTGACATAGTATTTAACTTTACAAGGTTGTACAAAATTTCCAAATATGAATAGATTTCAACTTAAAAATTTGAAATAAGTTAAAACTTCAACTATTCTGAAGACTTAAAAATATACATACAGTTTCACTCAATCACATCATTTACAGTATGATTTTTTAAGCTGTTTATTCTTATACACCCATATATTTTTGACTGTATTAGTGGAATATATCCTGCTATATGCAGCTTTGCTGCAGTGGGATAAAGGGGTTCCCTGAGGGCACAGAACAGGCTTTGAGTGTTTATATTTTAAATAATTTGATTACATATATTAGCTAGAAATATAAACCCAAAGTGTTATTTATCTGTCCTATAATGAGACTGATTTATCTGCTCTTTCTAGAATTTCCATTGATGGTAATGAGAATTTTGAAGAGAGCTTAACAGCAGGATTGAACTAAACTAAGTCTATTTGGCCAAGATGAATTATGTCAAATTATTTAATGAAGTATTTGAAGAATATCTGTTTAGTATTAGATGTCATTATAGACTACATAGCTAGTCCTGGCTATGCACTGGCATATTTGCTTCCATAACTAATAGGAAAATATATTTGATATGGTACTTTGAAGTAATGGGATGCATTATGGATTGGCATTTTTAACACCTCAATTGTATGCACATGATTACTTTATTAAATATTATGAAGATTAAAAGCATTTACCAAAACTTCTTGGCTGTTGAATATGTGATAATTGGGAATTCCAAGGGTCTAATTCAATCTGTAAAATAAGGTAAGGTGGAGGAAATTCATACTGTGGCTGGATCACTCCTGATAACTTAAACTAAGGCTGGTGCAAACAGACTCTGTGCACCAGCAAAAAGGCAAAGGCTTGTCAATTCAGAAACCATTCGTAAGAAGACAGATAAAGAAAGAAATTTGAACCAACTGGCACATGTGAGAAAATTGCTCAATTGTCAAATATACAGGAAGACACTTGTGCAGACGTGGGTCTTAAACTGCCTGCAATTAATTTGGTAAGAAATAAAAAAGAAATCCAAGATGCCTATTTCTGAGACTGAATTTTCTCTTCTCTGAATATGTTAAAATATCTATCAGAATGCTGCACCAGTAATCCACAGTCTTTCCTCTAAACAATTAAATGTTCTGTGTACATCATTTAAATGAGAAAGGAAGGAGTCATAAACAGGCCAGAGCTGTGCAATTCCTCATTTCCATTTTTCTCTAATGTTATTGGTAATAAAGACCACTGCAGTCTACAATTCAGCTGGAAATTGTTTTAGAAGCCACTGTTTTTGTTGTGTGAATATGCTGTCATGGGGCAGCAGGAAGGGAGCTGAAAGGAGGTATACATACATACACACACACACACACACACATATATATATATATATACTTATATATATATGCGTGTGTATATATATGTGTATATATACACATATATATATATATGTGGGTATGAAAATGGCTGGGAGTGGTTTGCTCTGTTTGCTCTATGTTTTCCCTGGCCCATGCCCAGAGAGTGCAAGGTGAGGGCACAAAAGTGGAGATATGTTATGCTGGTGGGAGGCCACACAGTCCAGCCCCACACACTATGGGGCAGGGGCCTGGCTGCCTCCTGCTTTTCTGGGGAAAAATGTTTATTTCTGAAGCACAGAGGGAGCCTTTCCCTCTGGAAAAGCCAGCTGGAGCTGGGCTTGGATCAGCCCCCAGAAAAGGCTGTTTTTCACCATCGCTAGGAGAGCACAGCAATTTCACTGAGCAACAGACTGGGTCATTAAGTGAATTAATAGCAGTCAAAAATATTGTAGCATATGACTAGAGACAAAATTTCCTTCTACAAATCCACACCTAAGGGGAGTCCTTCCACGCTGAATGGAAAGACAGCTTCCCCAAAGGAAAGCATCTACATGATGAAGACTTCAAAACACTTTCTAGATTGTTTAGCCTTCTTGCAACTTGTAATCTCAAATTACTTCAATCAAAACAATTACATTTTTCTTAATTGAGTGTTCTGTGTTCTGCCCCCGTTTTGGTTCCTGAGAGGAAAAAATAACATGGAAATATATCTCAAAAGTTCAAGCAACATCTAGCAGTTATATAAACCTTACCTCACCGACTGCTTGGCACACAGTGTATTACTGTACAATCAGATATGTCTTTTATATCCCATAATTTGTTTTTATCTTAACTAGCAAGCCGCTCTATGAGCAGCAACTAAAGAAATGAGTTTATCTACTTATATTAATGCAATTGTTATCAGGGGCATACAGGGTAAAAATAATTTGAAGATTAGAGTAATGTATTTGCAAGGAAATTTCCACATGGGAAGGTGCCACCTGATTAGTTTTCTGTGGAGAGTTAAAAAAAAAAAAAAAGGAAAAAAAAAAAGGTGTTAAAGCATCTTGGCAGGAGAAAATCTCTTAAGAGCACAAAGTTCCACCGTGATAGTTCAGTGGGAGCCAAGTTTTGACAGCACATTTTGGGCTGATACCCATGCGGTGAAAGGAGAAACGTGAGCTCTCGTGGGACACTTGACCTGGACCAATGTATTGATTTTTCTACCAACACACAGCCATCCACCTCCTGCCCTCAGGACTGCAATGGTGGCAGTCATGACAGAGGGGAGAATAAAGCATTTGAGTCTCTCTCAGTACATCTCTTACTCTCATTTTTATCAGCTGCAAAAGTGAAGCTTCCTCTAAAACACCAAAGCCAAGGAAAATGATTGCTCGTCATCATTATCTGCCTCTACTCCTCCAATTACTGTGCTAGTGTTTTGCAAACTGCTGTCAATATGAGCTAGGGCCAATTATTCTTTCTGAGTGTTTACCAAGACATAGAATTTAATTAGATGGCAGAAAAAATGCTGCACAGCAAGGTAGGTGTTAGCAAAAAAAGATCAACTTGGCCAATCATTTAAAAAATGCTAATTTTCTGTCTAGTACCTGAATGGGTAGCTATATCTAGATCAGTAGACACCAGATTTTGAGTGAATGCTCCAGCACTGTCTTTTTACACAGCAGAAGTTGAGGGGCTCTCTCCTACTGTTTCCTGTCATTTTATGAGTTTACAGTACATTCAGCTCCACTGGTTTTGATGAAGAAAATCAGTTTTATAAGGCATAAAATTCAAATTTTTTTCAGGAGATCTATTTCTGAGATGCTTAATTACTGCATGAAATTTCTTCATGTATTTCAAAATCAGAAAGCAACAGGCAAAAGTCAATTCATTTTAAATTTTCAAGCCTTAAAATGTGTATTCAGATATTGTCTCTGGGACTTGTTTTGCTCCATAACCAGCAGAACAGAAAACTTTCAAGTAATAGGAACATATCAGGAAACACATAAAATATGTTCATCAGATTCCTGCAATGTTATCTCTATTTCTATCACAAAAATACCCGCTATCTCCAAACAGAAGCAGGAAGCTTATGGCTCTTTCTTGTAACAGCTTGACTGGTGTGGCCCACACCCTTCCTGCTGTGGGGTGGCAGGGGCAGGAGCTCAGTTCCAGCTTCCCATGAGTGAGGCAAAAGTCCCATGACTGCAGGTCAGCTTTGAGGCAGGAGGAGTTGGGTTGAGAGGCAACTGGGTGATGGGACACCTCTAGGAACCCAGGGATGATTAATTTTAAAAAAAGTGACATCTTCACTGACATCTTCTAACATCTACAGCGTACAACAGAAAAATTACACATTATATTTATAATTTTCTTACTTCTTTTGAAAAGCAACAAATTGCAATTCAGGCTTTTTACAGCTTTAACTAAGAGCTCTTGTGTACAATTACTGTACAAACTTAGTGCATGGACTTCAGTGATCCATCCCAATGCAGCTTGCTTTTGAGAGCAGCTGCCCATCCTTAGTCTTTATATTACTCTAATAATGGATTCTGTGTCAGTCAATATGCATTGCAAAGACTAAAAACCAAAATCAAACAAAACCACAAGTGGCACCTGTGCACATTAGATTAAGTCTCTTGGCATTTTTCATGCGGATCCTTCCTGTCTCACAGCAGGAGAAATATGCAACTACGTAATGTAGCTGCAGTGTTTTGAAAACAAGTGAAAGGACCTGAAAGGACCTGAAAGGACCTTCGATCATATTTGGTGAAGGGCAGGGGCAGAGCAGGAGATAAATGCTGCTCTATCCTTCACACAGAGGATTTTGTTCAGCTTACACTATGGCCAAGAAATCACATTCATTTTGAATAAAGGAACAAAACATTTACTCAGATATACTTCTACAGGCTCAAACGTGGAAAGTTTTGGTCCTAATATCACTTGTAAAATAAACATCATTAATGGAGATATGAGGCAAGAAAATGGAATGTATTTCTGAAAATTTCATGCCAATGGAGGATAAAAGCTGCCTAACTCCAGCTACATCTGATTTCATAGAGCTTTGCAGATGCAAAGAAATGACATATTTATATATTGATGGCAGAGGGTATTCAATAGGTATACTCAATAAATCTCTGTGATAGGTGTGGTCAATAGGAGGGGAGTGATCTGTGTGAAGGATAAAAGTAATGAGTGGAGAAAAGTGCTGAGCATCAGGAAATACAGCACAGGCCTATTTCTTGTGATGGATCTGCATAAGCAGAGTGCAGCACTGAGTAGGGTTCAAAGTAAATTGGCTCATTTCTTTTGCCCCATGGTGTTAATTAGTCTGTGCCACAATGGTAATTATAATTCTTAATGTGGACACATTAAGCACAAATTAAGGAAGGCCATTTGGCCATTTCCTCATCCGTTTGGTTTCTCTAGAGGACGTAGTATTTCAGGAGTAACTATGGTTTCTTTGTTACCCAAAGATTTCAATACAGAAGAAAAATAGGCTCAAGAAGACTGGATGTTTTGAAACTACATAAGGAATCAGATTCTTGTCCAGAGACTTTTATTCCATGATAGTGTAAAAATTTTCAGGTCTTTTGAGTATTTTCAGTAAATTAACTATGCCTGTATGAATGAATTGAAAAGTAAATTTAAATTCTCTTGGCACAATACTACCCTGTGCTTCTCTGATTGTTAGGCATGGTTGAGTGACGATTACCAGATCATTTCAAAAGTTCTTTCATTCCAGTAAATGCACTAAATAACTTTGGTCCAGGATCGAGAAAGAATCTCCCATTAAATTCCCAGAAAATGCATATGCACCCTGACAAACCAGCCCTGCTTACATATTAAGGCCTTATTATTTAGTCCTAGAGTGCCATAAGGAGGATCTCTTCATGGAGGCCTGAGTGGGGTGCCAGGGTGCTCTGCCAGCAGTGTAGCTGATGGTGACGTGTGCTCTTGGCTCGCAGAGTCATTCATACACTGAACTTTTTTGGGCACTGTTTACATGTGTTTATTCACCCTTGTGCAAGGAGGATGTGCACATCTATAAAGCCTTTAAATGTCTTGGGGTTTTTTCCACACTTTCTGCCAAGTTACATAAATTTTATAGCTTCACTAGCTTGGAAAAAAAAGTTACCTCTCCTCCATTTAATTGAATGGTTTTATCATCATTTTCATAAGACACTCCCTTAAGCCAGCATCACACAGTTAAGGATTTATTGTTTGAAAACTCAGAAGGGGGTGAATGACCTAGATATAGTGGGTATTTCTTACTCTTACCAGGCAAATGAGGTTTTTTAAAGCCTGCAAAATTCCATCCATGAGACTGGCAAATGAAAAGCATTATATTATGCAAAAGAAATGGCAGAGCAATAGGATGGGATGACAGAGGATGGTAATTTTTTTCCCCTCTAATTTCTAATGGAAGGAGTGCTGTTATTACCTCAAAGAATCTGCAGTGATGACTTGCTGTGTTTGTGACATTTGCCTCCAACTGTTTTCATAGTGGCTGGATTTCTCTTTCAAGTTTGAGAAACTGGCAGTGATGTTCACATGGACATAGAAGTTTCTCTTACATGAACCTATACAGAATCTAGTCTGAGAGGCCTTTTTTTCTTATTTGAAAAAAGGCAGCTTGAGTTTGGGTAATGTAATGGAGTTAAACATAGCGTAGCCTTGATGCATTTCTAAATTTTGGGTAATGTCTAAAAAGCCAGCTCAATACACTGAAAACACCATATCCAGAAATAAGGACAATGCAATTGTAAAAAATATGCACTCAGGAAAGGAAGATGTGAAAACTTTTCTTGCAGATAAGCAGAGGAGACTTAAGCACAGTTTCACTGTCCAGTTACAACTGATGAGCCATCAAAGGCAATGTTTACCATGGCTGACAATTTAGCCTAAGTGTGCACATACATCTGTAAACATTGCTCTAGATGTGGTACACCTCTCTGTATGTGCATGCACAGTAGGGTCACACACATGCTTCTGAGACATACACAGTGCATGGAGATGTATAGGTACAATATGCACACCACACCATGCATGTAGGAATAGGCCATGAAATAAGTAGCACTTCTCTTAATGTTTTCCCATGTTACCTGTGCTCCCTCCATTAAACAACCCCTGGCAGGGATTGGCTCTCTTGAGCTGTCTTGATATCTAAAATTAAGCAAAGCATCCTCAAGCACATCTAGGAATGGATCTGAAATAACTACAGTGATATTTCGAGAGAAAAAAAAATACAATCTATGTTATACTTTGAATGTGCAGTGTGAGTGGTGAAGAGCAGTCAAAGTCCCAAATTCCAGTACAGCACAGGTGACGAGTTTGCCAGTTAAGATTGTGAAGCACTGTCAGTGACCTCAAATACTGTGATGCTCAGTCTCAACCAAGTTGCAGTGCCATGGTATATGAAATGAAATAAACATAGTGTAGAATTCACACTCAATTTGTTTTCAACAAATGGCACAACTGCATTATCTCTGCCTTACTTTAAAAGCTGAAGTACAAAAATTCCCAAATATCAGACATTACAAATTAGCATTTTGCCCACTGTCTTTCTGGCAGCTCAAAAATGTAGAAGTAGAAAAGTGCAGATGCTATAAATGATCTATGCCTGCTACAAGGCTCCAAGGAAGAACATCCTAATTAAATGAAGTTTTTAATTCCATGAAAACTTGAATGTCATGCATGCTTTAGCTAAGCTTCTAAACAGAGTGTTTGGGTATCATGGGAGTGCAGTGCATGAGTCAGACGAGGCAGCCACCATTATGAACACCTCAGCTCCACCAGACAACTCTGCATACCCTTGGGGCTAAAAAGAAGTGACCTACAAATATGTATCACTTTGACATGCTCCCAGAAGCCAGGGCAATGGTATTTCAATGGGCAAATACATAAAAGATATAAAGAATATATAAAATAGAAAATCGCAGAGGGTGGAACTACCACAATGAATATATATGCTTTTTAAAAATTCCCAAAGGCATGATGATTAAAATACATGATGATTCATGAACTGTGTGAAGTTCAAGCTAGTGGTGGTTTGGGAGAACATTGCTAGGGACAAGTCATCCCCTGGTCAGCCTCGGTGAACAGACCATTTATGGCACAGACCAAAAATTTCTGCCAATAAGGAGCTGGCAAATGTGAAGCCTTCTCCAGTTGTTTTTGATATGTTTTATACATCTTTAGAAAAAAAGTATCAGATCTCAACACTTGACAACTCCTGAAATTAGTAACGTGTCTTTTGATAATGTAAGATCAGATAATTTTGCATAGAGGGACTGTGAAAGGAAAGGATAAAACACCTGATAACAAGACAGGCTTGTAGAGCATATTTTAGCACAAGAATCTAGAAGCCACCAGGAGGAAAATGAGGGTTTACAATCTTGAATATAAATTTGAATAGTGATGCATAGCCAGTGGGTAAGGGGTGAGTGAAAAGCAGTTTATAGATAGTATGACACTGCTTGACCATCCCTACTGTATATAGGGTCGCATGATGATAACTATTTTTAAAACTTTTGATGCTGCTGATTAGGGAAAAAAAGTTTAAAACTTCCTCTTGCTTCAATATTTGCATTCTGTAGAGGCAAACCAAGTGTATTTCAGGATTTCTACTCACTTTTTAGATCTATAAGGTTGATAATGAACCAAGTTTTTTTAGAATATTCTTGCAGAATAAGTAAAGAAATATAATAATCAAGACAGCCAAGTAAGGAAATGAAGCTGCACATAATTGAGAAAGTCACCAACTCTCTCAGAATATCTGTGTGCATATTCCTACTGCCAGAACCCTGTAGCCTACTTATTGTTTAGGTTACACAGATCCACCAGGTTAGATCCTGGAAACTACTCAGGACTTTCCTATACTTGTTTAGCTTCAAACACTGCCAGACTGATCTGTAGTTCACTTTTGTTCAAAGTGTGTTATGCAGGAGTAGGAAAAATGCTTCATGCACCACGGCCCCAGCCGTCAGATCTTCAGACCAGACATCTCTCACTGCCTATGCCGGTACAGAAGTAATAAACTTCTATCACAATTTCACTCTGAAAAAGCCAAACATATAATGTATTTTGCTGCCTGTTCATAGACAGACAGTGATTGAGTCTGTTCTACAAAGCTTTCTCCAGACTACCCATTGGCTCCTGTCTGGCTATCTCTTCTGACTTTTTGGTCCTTTTCATGTGGAGTCTAATCCTGTATTATTGCAATTAATGGAGACTGGTCTCTGAAAAGCCAGCTTTCAGAGCTGTAAGGAGGGTTAATGGGACTGAGCTGTTTGTCTGCCACAGAATGACGCTTTCTACTGTGTTTCTGACTTAAATTTCCTCAAAACAGATGAAATATTACACATTGTACTTCCTAAAAGTAATTCTGTGTCATTGGTCTTGCATTGTTCTTCTTCTGCAACCTATTATGTGCGCCTGTGTTCATAAATAATATATCCACTAGTGCATACAGCTAAAATTTTTGTGTGTGCATGGGTTTAAAGCAAATACAGCAACATATAAAATACAAATTAAATTGATGCTCACTGTACTTGTAACACAGCTAAATTCTTAATATTTTATAGTGCATATTCCATTAAATAAATAATAACTAAATTGATCTATGCTACAATATGTGTATACATACACATTTTATGATACCTGTAAATAACATTTTAAAGCCTGTTCACACATCAAAAGACAGGTTGTTTATTTCTCTGTTAGAACAATCCAAGGATTTAACTCTTCCTATTATGTAAACAGTGGTGACAGACGCTTTCAAGGAAGCTTAACTTCAATAAAAATAATAGTTTCCCATTTTAAAATCAATACTAATATACCATAAATCCCCCGATGAACTCTGGCTTCCTTGCATGCTCTCACATTTTGTGTATTAGGGGCACAGCACTACTCTAGATATCAGAATATAATAATATGGCAATATATATAGATATAGATATATATTTAAATGTTAAAACATTTTTAGGTCAACTTGAGTAATGAATAATTTTCATTTATATGCTTCTTTCTATAAATAAAGGTAATTAATTTTCTTTGCAACATGGGTGCCTTTGTATGTGGGTGGCAAACCAGCAAAACAATTTCAGTAACTTCAGTTCAAAATGCAATTGTGACATAGATGAAGCTTTAACTTTTTTCTTTTTTGTACTAAAATTGTACTTGCAGTAGAGTTCAATATAATTTATGAGATTACTTTAGGGTAGACATTTTAAGCAACTCATACAAAAGAGAATTTTTTTTTAATAACAAGAAAGCTAGGAATAGTCTATTCATTTCTCAAGCAGACCTTTATGAATCACTTTAAAAGGACACTACAGCTGAAGACTGAAGAGCAATATTTATCAACATTAAATAAAACATTTGGTGAAATATGTATAAATATTTCTTTATATGAACATAACACAAAATTAAATAGTTTAGATACACAGACACCATTTAATATATTTCCACTGTTGTCAAAATCATCTGTAAACACCATCTCACACTGAATACAAAAGCAGCTTTAACATCAGTTCTGTATTCACAACACTGATGCCCCTTTGTAAAATAAGATACTTGTTTTATTTTCAGCAAAATAAGAGTCTAAGCAACAACAAAAAAAAAAGTTTTGGTCAGCTCAAAGGAGAATACAAAATTATCTTTCAACATGTAACTAAACCAAATATCAGATTTAGAGCAACAGTTTAAAGTACAATCCTTTCCCCAGGGGACCTCTGACATTTATAAATCATGTTTGGTGCAGACCACCTCACAAATACCAGGAAATACTGGTCATGTCTAAACTATAAATATTAAAGCCCTTTTAAAATTGTCTTTATCAAAAATTGCCAGGTTACAAATTGGCAATATCACATTTTTCACACCACTGAAGAACCTGGCATCAAACGGATTTAGGTGCACTTCTCCTGATGATTTTTAAAACAGGTTGTGAACAACAAACACTTTTTAGTGACCATCCTTCACATGCAAAAATAAAGCATTTCTTTGAAACAAATCATTTGCATCTGAAGATCACCCGGGCAGACAGTGCAAGCAGCAGGGCTCCACCAACGTTTATCAGAAAGTTACAACGTGAACTTTCATGGGAAGCCGTAGAGGTGCTGCACACACACAGGATGTGAGCTGGCTCTGAGCAGGGCGGTGCATCCCCACAGTGCAGCTCAGGACAAGGCGTTGCAGGAGCCGTGTGTGCTTTGGCAGCAGCACGGCCTCCCCAGCAGGACACGGCGCTGCTGCTGATGGCTGCACCTACCTGGCTCCTGAGCAGCTCCCTTTGGGCACTGGTGCTGTGCAGCCCAGATCTGGGCTCTCATTATTATCCTGTGCCCTGCCAAGACAGCTTCCTGCTCTTCCCTGAATGCAGCCTTCAATTCCTTTCCCCTTTGTATCGTTTAATGATCACTTTGAGGAGAGACTCTGAGCTCAAGATTAAGATTTTACTGGGAAAGTACCCAATTATAAAACTCTGTAAACTCACAGGCTATGTTTTGGTTTTCTCAGTTTGAAACGTGGACACTATGTTTTGGTTCCAGAGACAAACTTGAATTTCAGGTGGCAAATAATGAGTTACATGCTTATAACATGATTTTCGAACTTTTTAAAAGTTTCAATTACATGTAATCACGATGGGGGGCCCTGTAAAAGCTAGAACAAATAGGTCACCTCTTTCCTGGTATGTGCGCATTTCAGAGGTGTGAATGTATGCTATGCATACATACACACTCACACACATATAACATCAGCTGCACACAGAGATACTCAGAAATCAGGAATAAGGGGTACAATTAACAATATATCAGAAGAGAAGTAGACAGGAAGCTCTACCAGGACAACAAGAGGCAATTTTTCAACCTATACAGTGTCTCAATTTCATAATCCCGTTTCACTAGCTTCTTACATCTGTATGTAACTCGAATTGAAAATTGTTGGATTCCTTGGAAAAAGAAAAGTTGGGCTAGCTAGATGTGTTTACCTGAGATCCCAGAGTTGATTATAATCAAAGAGCTGGGCACATCAGTAATGGGTTTATAATTGCTATACAGCTTCTCACAAATTCATAGGAAAACTTTATTAAATCTTTCACTCCTTAGTAAAAATGTTGAAGTTTCTTAGTTTTTGAATGTGGATTGACTTTTATATTAAACTGGATTTATTGAAAGGATAAATAAGCCTGGCAGCTGCTTTCATGTCTAAATCACAGAATCAGCACCGTGGACACACCTTCCCTCATCAACTCATCCTGTCTCATCCCTTACTACTTTGCCCATCCTGCCCTGTCCCATGCCATCCTGTTCTGTCCTATCCCACCCCATCCTGTCCCATCCCATCACATCCCTGCTTCGTTATTTTTCTATTTGTTTAAAAAATACTATTCTATGAAGCCTCCCTAGGGATCCGCTTATGAAAAATGGCGGACTGCCTTTGCTGATACTGCTGTTTGCGTCGTTTTCGTTTGTCACACTGGCACAGCAGCAGCATCTTAAAAGTGTTTCTGAATGTTTTGTTACACAGTGCATAGCACATGGGGTTCACCGTGCTATTGATGTAGCAAAGCCAATACCCCAGGTTCCAGAAAGCTTTGGGGATACAGCTGCAAAAGGTGTTCACCAGAACCATGATGTTATATGGGGTCCAGGTAATGATGAAGGCAAACAAAATGGCACTGAGTGTCTGTGCTGCTTTCTTTTCTTTGATAAGTGACATTCGTTTCCGTTTTGTGATCTGACTTCTGGTCTTCAAGGCAAACTTTTTTGCCAGGGTTGCTTCCTTAAATGACAAGGGCAGGGCTGTCGATGTCTTGGTGACTGATGAGATGCCATCAGAAGCTGTGGTTGTCTCTTCTGATTCTGGTTCAACTGGAAGCTTAGTAAAGCTCTTTTGGAAATTTCCACCATCCTGAACACCTTTGGGAGGGTGCAATTTTTTAGGTTTCTTTTCCTTCGATTCTGTGTCGGATTTCTGCAGTTCATCTCCTGACTCATGCAAATCTTCTGAGGAGGGTAGTTTTGTGGAGTTGAGGATAGCACTGTGACCAGGGAGCTTCAGCACGATTGAATAGATGGCCCTGGTCTCTGCAGCAATGTCTTCTTCATCAGAGGAGGCTGAATTTTCAAGGGAGGCAGCAGCATCATTGTTGTTCCAGCTGTCACTGCTGCTATGCTCCTGGTCCCCCTGATCTGTGCTGGGTTCCCAGCTCTTCATTGTGAGCCAGAAGTGGCAGCGTCTGTATTTCTTTCGGGCGGAGCGTTTCATGTTCTGCCGCTGCAGCTCGTAGCTGCTGCAGCTCCGGGAGCTGCCTGTCTGGTGCACGAAGCGCGCCGCCTCCGCTTCGCTGCCTGAGGCCTGGAGCCCTGCTAACTCTTTGGTGCGCTTCTCCGTCTCCTTGTAGATCCTCCAATACAAAATACTCATAATGGTGACTGGCAAATAAAAGGCAGCTATGGCAGTGCCAAAAGTGATGATAGGTTCACTTAGAAACTGGATGAAACATTCGTCAGGAGGCACAGTCCTCTCCCCAACAAAATACTGCCAAAACAAGATGGCAGGGGCCCAAAGAACAAAAGAGACGATCCATGCTAAACCAATCATTATCCCAGCCCTTTTGGTTGTTCGTTTGGCTCTGTATGTCAGTGGCCTAGTGATGGAAAAATACCTGTCAAAACTTATCACGAGGAGGTTCATGACAGAGGCATTACTGGCGACATAGTCAATGGAGAGCCAAAGGTCACAGGCCAAGCTTCCCAAAGCCCAGTGGTCCATGATGATGTATGTGGTATAAAGATTCATGGAAAGAACACCGATGATCAAATCTGCACAAGCAAGGCTCAACAAGAAGTAGTTGTTGACTGTTTTCAGTTGTTTGTTAACCTTAAATGCAACAATCACTAAGATGTTTCCTATGATGGTCACCAGGGCAAGGATCCCAGTGAGGAAAGCAATCAAAACTACTTGCCAGATAGTGTGTCCACCCAGAGGGTCTTTGCTTGTGGCATTGAGGGTCATGTTTGTTGATTCCACAGTGGAGAAAGGAAAACTCTCTGTGGTCTGAGGGAAATCATAGCTGCCAATGAGTGATGCTGCTTCATCAAGGAGTCCTGGTCCATGCGAATCTCTCTTCCAGAAGGAGCTCACATTCGGTAAAAGGAGCGAGGATGAACTGTTATTATGCATGATCATTGTGGCTCTCTGACATAGTCTGTAGCAGAGAAAAACCAAACAAAAATCAAGTGAACAGGTGAAGATGTTAAATAATCGTCCTCATACTTGTACATAAAATCACTTTAGCACTTTGAAAGACGTCTTTAAAAAGCCAAGCTGCCTGTGACATATTTCAAGTCAAAACTGTATGTGATGTCCAGACTGTGATTAATCTGAACTCTTTACAGTGATCACATTGTGTTTCCTTATAAACATTCAATTACAGAGGAACCAAAATCCCAGGAGAATTTGAATGCACAGTAGTATTAAAATGCCCCCAAACTCTAACTCTGAATTAAAAGACACCCTGTAGGATCTGTCCTGGACTCAAAATCTCAAAAATCCTGGAGCCTTTAAAAATTAGGTTCCAATCATATGAAGCCACAGATCTTGCACGTTCCAAAACAACACTGGTTCCCAGTGCTATCCTGGCTCTAACAAAATAGAGCCACAGCCTCTCTGCTGCCTCCAGCTATAGCTGATAGCAAACAAAAATATTGTTCTGTCTTTCCTTAAACTATGGTGATAACAGCCAGCACAATTTCACTGTGTCAAGTTACTCTAATCTGTGAGGCTGCAAAACTCTTCCCATTTTCATCTACCTTTCAGCTATCTGATAAAAGTAGTAAAAGTTCTCATTAGCTTTTTTTGCACATGCCACTATTCATTTTTTCATGCATATTTTTATATTTGGACCAAGGATTTTGCACATCTAATGACTTCAAAATTTCTTTGGGGGCAACACACGGTAAAAGTTCCTTTGAAATTATGGTCTCTAGAGTCAGAAAAAAAACCTTTGACAGATGTATGTCAAAGCAATCACTAAACACTTAAGTAAAATAGCAGAAAAAATCATGAAAGGAATTTATAATTAGGCTTTAATCATTTCCCCCCAGTAGTAACATAAAATGAAAACATGTTCACACTAGGAACTTGCAATTCTCTCATTTCTTAGCTTCTCTAGTCAGCTGACTGGATCCCTAGTAGTTAATGAATTATATCATCAAGAAGAAAAAAATTCAGATGAAAAAGTCCAACATTGACTGTAAACATTGAGGAAAATATGCTGTCAATGTTTGTTTTCTAAATGTGAATTCTTCCAGAGTGAATATATAATGGCATGAGATAATGAGTATCACAACATACTGATTTTACATAAAAATATTTAACCAAAAGAGAAGGGTTTGGTTATATTTTTCTAATTAATTTCTAAATTCAGCTTTCCCTTGAAATGTACTTGGTTTTGTTATGAAGCCACAAGACACTGTGGGTTTTTAAGTGGGGCAGTTTCTTTAACATATGTCGTAAATAGATCAGCAATTCCTTTCCTTTGCTCATGTAAGATAACTAACACAAACCTTTCCCCTATTTTGATATCTAGTGTAAATGAGGTTTTATTAGGTTACAATGAAGATGTCATATTATTATCTAATTCAGTCTACTTTTAATGCATTCATCACTGTATAACTCAGAATAAGAACACAATAATAATGAATAAATACTGCTCTGGTAAATCAAACAGTTAAATTTCAAGACTTTTGCCTGATAGAATTATTGAAAACTCAGAGCAGCTCAACTTCTAAAAAGAAAAATAGTAAGACAGGACTGCTGGAAACCATCCTTCTTGCAATGTTTTATTTAGGAAGCAGGCATTTTTTCCAGAGCTGTCAGACAGGATGACGTCAAAACCAGAATAGTATGAGAGAGATCTCAAATAATGATATTTGCTAAATATATGCCAGAAATTATTAATGTTATAGGGTGCAGACCTTTCTTCACTCACACTGGGGATGGAGAGCAGAGGATGAAAGCCAGAAAGCATCCGCTCTGCAGCCATAAATTTCTGAAACCTCTGTAGGGCAACAGCCAATCTAGTCAAGTATTGGTTGAAAACTCTGACAGGTTCATTTGGAGGACAATAACATAATTATGCTGCTTTTTCATAAAAAAAAAAGACAAGTTGGTATCTTCTAACACACAAGAAAAGATCAGGAAGAATATATCAAAAAAGGAGATCAAACTTTCATTAAAATGGGTAGGAAAAAAATCACTTAGAAGTGATGGTAAAAGATAAGAGTATTACTAGGAAATAAAAATAGTTAACAGCTAGGTAGTAGTTCCCATTTTCATTGTATAACACAACCATGAACTAATCTGAGTGCTAGACTTGAAATCCAAAACAAATATCATAAGAGATAAGAGATACAAATAATCTTGCAAAATTAATATGCAAATGCCACACTATCTATCAGTAACTCCATAAACCAATTGTGAATTCTATTTAATTGTAGACTTTGAAATGGAGTTCCAATGGAAATGTAACGATAAATCCTTTCAGAAATGCCATGATTCAAAAGACTCATGATGAGGAGTCCTGGGTTCATCATAGTTCAGCTGCAGTCTTTCAGACACTGAAGAAGTGTTGGAACCAATACTTTCTTTCTTTCTCAGGTGAGTTCCTTCACGTCTGGCCTTCAAAGTAGCTTCTCTAAGTCATTGTTTCAATGAAAATCTGAACAGTCCTTAGCAGTCGAGTAACTGAGGAAAAGGAGAAACTGAGAACAACCCACCATCTGTCTCCTGCTGTCCAGTGCAATCCTGCATCTGTAATTTGGTTTTTAAACTCTGCAGGGATTAGAGGGAACCCTAAACTTACATTGGCTGCACTATATGACAAAATGGGAGTGCCAGTGGGATGATTAGTAGAGTCTTTTGTTATTCTGCCTCTTCCAGAAGCTCCTGTAATTGAACCATTTAATTCAATAAAAAAATGTATTAACCATAAGTCCATCTGCACAGAAAAAAGAAAATATCACTACCCCCACCACTACAACATACCAGATGAGCACAACTGGATTTTCTTGCCTTTAGGAAACCAAGGCAAGCTACATTATCCATCATTTTCCAAAGCTGCCATGCTGCTTCTGCTTTCTGTTTAAGTGCTGCAGGGGTGGAGTGTCCTGGGTCTGACAAGATGACAGCGGGATTCGCAGTGCAGCCGCCAGCACCTGCCCAGCAAGCCAAGCTCTGGCAGAATGACGTGTGACCAAGTGGGAAAGCAGCCACACATACCTCAGTAAAACAAACAGTGCAGTACGGCCTGAGTGAGGCAAACATATCAAACTGTGAAATGATTACAGGTTTACATACCATGATAAGAATTTACAAATCATTGGTATGATACACTACATTACAATTTCAAGGCAGGGAGTAGCAAAGGAAACTTCTTTTAGCCGAAGAATATACAATTACTTACCTAAGATCATAGTAATGGCATTCCCTGTGAGTTTGAGTCTTTTTGTTCATGTTTTTGCTTTTTAATAGGCTCTTATGAAAGGTACAGGCCAGAGATCATCAGACACAGTGTACACTTCTCAGGATTATTCAGGAAAAGTGTAGGCCCAGTACAGGCAATGGCTACATAGACTTTCATACACATCCAGCCAGCACACCCCTGCTCTCTGCCATGCCAGAGGGAGTGGGATTTTTGATATCCCACTAAGACCGACTGGAAGGGTAGGAGAAAGCATCTACAAAAATGGTCAATGATTTCAATAAATGGGTATAATTTAGATTTAAAAGCCTGAAATTTTGACTAGTGTAATTTATTGCACATTGCTGTAAATAGAAAGCAAAATAGAATAAGCAGTATCACTGTCACACATTTTCAGTGCATTTAATTTCTGTCTGCTTATTTCAGATTTAAATGCTGTTGTGAATACATCACATTTTACCAAAATTTTTCTTTTCCTTAAACCTTCCTATTCAAGAAGTCTATTTTTCTTGCTGTCTTTAAAGTGCTCTATGAAGCATTTTCTGAGAAGTGAGATGGCAATCTAAGGCTTGGCTATCTGTGAGCTCAAAACTAGCAAGCCATTATGGCTGAAGAATTTCACAGTGCATCTGTTTACACAGACAAGAAAATTGCTTACCTTATTTTTCCATTTTCTTCTGCACTGCTCTTATATACACATTAGCCTAAACAGCAGAGAGCTCCATGCAGTGATTTATAAAAGTCTTTTCTAACACAGAGAAAGGAAGCCTTCAGAATGCTTAATACAGTTACCTAAACTAGCACATATACTTTGTTCCAAAACTATTATTTGGTAAAAATAAAAATACATATTTGAATTACAAGGTTTTCCTAAGATTATTGGCAAGATCGTGTATAACAATTTTTCAAAACACACAGTGGGGTTTTTTTGTTTGTTTGCTTTGTTTTTCCTCAAAATACAGTGTATTTTTCAAAATACATTAAAGCATTTTAAAAGCTTGTAATAGAAGATTAAAGCATTCACAGTTCTACATGTATAGTAGCTCATATCAATTGAAGCTAGTGTAGCACAAAGTAAAGGATTCCATATGAATATTTATGTTGCAACAGGAAGAACAGTGAATTATCAGTGAACACAACCTCAGATTTACCATGACTATACATTACACCTATATCAAATACATTACACTAAATATATTTTAGCTTCTTTGAAGAATGAGAATACAGAACCATAGAAATCAAGCACACTAGGAAAAATCCTGGCCACTGCCTTGCACATTCACAGTAGATAAAAACAGATTGTCATATACTTATATATATGTACATATACACATCAGTATATCTACATACAAATGTGTATCACATATAGTGTGACGAGTAGATGTATACAGAGCTGTAGATGAAAGTATATGTGCATGTACATATATAAATACGTGTATATATGCCAAGTAGATGTGTATATATATGTATATATACAATTATGTCTATACACACACATATATCTGCAGCTATATATACACATAATTTTGTCACCTTATTCCAAATATTGTTATAATGGAAGACTATATCTTTCACTAATTAGCTATCAACTTGAAACAGATAATGTTCAATCAAACATATCCCAGTAACACTTCAACCCAAATGCTTCCATTTTGCATCCATAAATATATTTTGTTTTCTAAATTCACCTAAATTAAATGCCAGTGCTTTAAAATTAATGAATT